TAACCCTGTGACGTGGATAACAGGAGTCTCTGTAAAAACTAGAACTAAATAAAAGAATCAGAACAAATGCTTTAAGCATAATTAAAGAACAGTTTCCTGAAATAAAAGAATACTGGAAACTACACATTGCAAGCGTATCTGAGAGCATGGACCTTGAATTATGAAGAACACTGAGACCTATTTCAGTAAATTACTGTGGTTTAGAGAAGGAGGGAAAATACCCTTTTGACATCTAGGTAAAAACACTAAGTAACTTATAAGAAAAAGAAAATTACATTATCATTACATTATCATCAGATTATCCAACAACAACGATCTCTGCCAGAAGAAAATAGAACAACATCTGTAAGATAGTCAAAGAAGGAAAAACATGAGGCCAGGATTTTATATTTAACAAAACTGTTACCACTATGCAAGGACTCAAAGAATATTTTCCCCCAAAACACTTTGGGGATTCAGGAAAGAACGAATTCAAACACCAAGAAGCAGAGAGGTGCCAACCTGAGGGTGAGAGGGATGGGCTGGCAGAGGGGTGACAGCAGACCCAGGAGAGCCCCGCCTGTGTGCACAGAGCAGGGACAGCCAGCTTGTGTTCTGAACAGGAGCGGAGGTGTCACCATGTCAGTGGAGAAGGTGTTAGTATCATTATTCTGTGACTGTGGTATGTGCCATGTGGAATCAAGTAACTGATAATTTTGTGATATATTAATTCTGTCATCACCTATGCCCTTGAGAACTAGGGTAGGAGAAAGGACATAGAATTGTAATATAGAAAAGCTTAAGTTAAAAATAAAAACCCAGATGAGAAATCTGTAGTCATGAATTTGAATTGAAAGCATCAGAATTAAATATCTGCTTCCTAAGAACCCTAAAACAAGGACAGGCTCAGTGTTCATAGCACCCCGGGACCAGGGTGACAGCGACAGGCTCGGTGTCCACAGCACTCTGGGACCAGGGTAACAAGATCCAATTCAGTATTAGTCATTCCTAGTAACTTGATTATGGTCTTGAATCCATTTTCCACTAACAGAAGTCAGGGATGTTTGAGAAACAGCTAAGATCTGGGTCTAGGGCAGCAAGTGTATAGATAGTCCCAAAATATCCATACTACATCCAGCCAGCTAGTCCTGACACAGCCAGGATCATGCCCTACACACAGCCAGCAAACCCTCAACACTGCCAGGGTCATGTCTAAAGGACCCAGGGGCCAATCTGAAGAGGCTCCTGCTGGCCACAGATGGGGCAACTTGAGCCTCAAATGGGGGACTAACTGCAGTGGATTGAAAGCCTCCCAAGGTGTTAAATCCATGAGCTCACAATGATGTGAAAACAAACATTGGCTGGTTTTTGAAGGATGCCAGGGAACTGGCTTATTCCACTGAGAGCTGAGATTTAACAGCCAAGAACCCAGAGTTTATCCTGCCTTTCTGCATGGACTGCACATCCAGAGACCAGCAGTCAGGGGTGGATAGCACCTCTTTGTCAGCTCATTCTAAGTAACAGGTAAGAAGGAAGGGGCAAGACCTTGTCATCCTACACCCCTGAAAAGTCTCTGGTCTGGGCACTGTGACTTGTGGTGCTATGAGAATTACCTTCTTACTACCAAGATGCCATTTCCCCAGGGTCTTGGCACCTGTGAAGTCTGCCTTTCCAATGGTGCACAGATATGACCTGAGTCACTGTGAGGCTAACTCAACCAGAGTTCTGTGGCTAATGCCCCAATCTCCATTGGCTTGGGGACTGGTGGTCTCAGTCCCTCTGAAGGACTCAAAAGCTCTTCCCCAGAGCTCTGACAGGAGCAGGTGCCAGGAGGCCAGGGCAGGAGCCACAGCTGTGGGCTCTTCTCTGCCGCATCTCAATTTAGCACAAGCTGGTCTCTGAAAAGTGGAAAGACAAAGGAGGCAGCTGTGGCCAGTGGTGGCCTTCCATTGCTTTCACTTCTGCACCTGGCCAGAGGCCTGGGTCCTGTGGCAACATCACCCCAAAACTGTTTCCACAAGAAGTGTGGGACAATCATCTCTTTCCCAAACATTTTACTCAATCTCAGCTGCTTTGACTCAGGATGATGTAGGGACAAGTCAAGCCCCATCTGAGAGTGCTGGAAGCTGCCCCTTCCCATGCTGTGCCTCCCTGTGCCCACCTGTCCTCTCACACGGGAAGACACCCCCCTCCCCAGCCCTCTGGCCCTCCCAGAGGAGCCCACGCACTCCCCCCTTCTGAAGTTTTAGTGGATTTGTGCGAGTGACCCCAGAGCATGAACTTCTCCTGCTCCTGAGGCACAGGGGCTGCTCTGGGAAAAGGACACATAGGACAGGAGTGGTCACTCTGCAGGTGAGCCACAGGACAGGGCGCTAGTCAGACTCGCCACCACTGCTGCCCAGCAGTGAGAATGTAGTGACCCACAGCACCGCAGAGAACACACATACACAGAAAGAGCGCCTTGCCACAAGCCAGGAAGAGGGTTTGAGGGAAAACAGCTGCCTGGGTCCTGGGCCCTAAGATGCAGGAGAGCCTCCCTTAGGCTGTGCTGCTGCTCTGATGGCAGCAGTGTGGGACAAGGACGCCAGGGGGACAGTGGGAGGTACAAGCCCTGCAGACAGTCTTCCACCACAGGGAGTCAGGACCAGAAGCTGAGTGCTTGGGGTGCACTTATCTATGGATTTTTCAAGCCCCTTTCTATCTTCCTTTTTTTGTTTTTTGTTTTGTTTTTTTGAGACATGGTCTTGCCTATTACCCAGCTGGAGTGCCGTGGCATCAGCCTAGCTCACTGCAGCCTCCAACTCCTGGGCTCAAGCAATCCTCCTGCTTCAGCCTCCTGAGTAGCTAGGACTAAAAGTGTGAGCCACTGAAGCTAGATAACTTTTCTATTTTTTGTAGAGTCAGGTTCTTACTTTTGCTCAGGCTGTTCTCAAACTCCTGAGCTCAAGTGATTCTTCAGTGTCAGCCTCCCAGAGTACTAGGATTATAGGCATTAGCCACCATGCCCGGCCTCTGTTTTCCTTTATAATTTTTAGACCTCTTAAAATGTACAGGAGTTATTCAAAATGTAGTTTCTAATATACCTCTTTAGTCCCTATTTAAAATGCCAGAAAACTCCCTCTAAACTTGTAAGATTTCACTGAACTAAATAAGGTCTGTTACATTAGGTAACAAAGCATAGGTCAGTATGAATTGATTTTTTTTGGAGACAGTCTTATTATGTCACCCTTGGTAGAGTGCTGTGGCATCACAACTCACAACAATCTCAAACTCTTGGGCTTAAGCAATTCTCTTGCCTCAGCCTCCCAAGTAGCTGGGACAACAGGCACCCACCACAACACTTCACTATTTTCTGTTGCAGTTGTCATTGTTGTTTAGCTGGCCCAGGCCAGGTTTGAACCTGCCAGCCTCAGTGCATGTGGCTGGCGCTGCAATCCTTGTGCTATGGGTGCTGAGCCTATAAATTGATTTTTAGACAGAGATAAGCCAAAATAAACTACATACTATTTAGGTACAAAACAAAATAAAACCCTTAAATAAACCCAAAACTCAAACTGAAAATTTAAGCTAAAAATTTCCAGACAGGCTGGATGCAGTGGCTCATGCCTGTAATCCCAGCACTCTGGGAGGCCAAGGTGTGTCGGGGCCTGTGTTGCCATGTCTCTGGCCCCAACCCAGGGCCTCGTTGAGGCTGGAATGCTAGGTCTACGGCCCCAGCCCACTCAACTGTCTGGATGTGAGCCCCTGAGCCAGCTTACTCAGGGTAGGTCTCGTCCAGGTCTCAGGTGTCGAAGCACCTTAGACGTCACAGTCAGTATTAGAAGGAGTGAGCATCTCAGCAGCAGTCTTAGTAGGGGAGGCTGATCAGGTGCCCTCTGAGCAAGAGGCGGAGCCAAAGGAGGAGCCCAGGCTAACTTCGCCTGAAGCTCCTTAGAGAAGTAATCCCGCGGCTGCCTATGCCACAGGTGTGGAGACTGCTAACCAATGATGTACATACTTTTGTGCTCTCACTAACAAGAGCAATGATGTTAAATCCCTTCCCCAATCCCTTATTGCCAAAGTATTTATCACAGGTCCCTCCTACAAAGGTGGGAAGATCCCTTTAGCTCAGGAGTTCGAGACAAGCCTGAGCAAGGGTGAAACCCTGGCTCTACTAAAAACAGAAAAACTAGCCGGGCGTCGTGCTGTGCACTTGTAGTCCCAGCTATTGGGGAGGCTGAAGCAAGAGGATCCCTTGAGCCCTGGAGTTTAAGGTTGCTGTGAGCTATGACACCACAGTATTCTAGTCTGGGTGACAGAGTGAGACTCTCAAACAAACAAACAAACAAAACAAAAAACCCCCAATTTCCAGCTGTACAATTTGTAGTAAAATACAAATTATAATACTGCAAAGCCATATAACTCTCAAAGAAGTACTAAAATGTAATTCAATACACAGGAGAACTGGTTTCAAGTAAGCTAACTTTAATGTGCAGGGCAGTCAAAGTTAAAGTCACCTGGCCAATGTTAACAACACAGTTTAGAGATGGCCGGCCTGGCTGGCACAGCACCAAGCAGTGAGTGCATTCCACACCCAGACTGCTGATCCTCATTGCTGGCTCCCCCGGCGCATTTAGTCAGCAGGCCATCAGTGTGAGGCCATCACAGAGCATTTTAAAATGTAAATACCGCAGTCGCCAAGTTACAGGCATCCAACTAATGTTCAACTTGCACTTATGAATGGAGGCTATTACAGGTAGTAGGTTTTTGTTCCAACGTACATGTGAATTCAACTTAATAACAAACCTACAGAACCCACCTTGTTTGCAACCTGGGACTGCCTGTATGTAAACCCAGAGGTGAAGAGTCACTGTTGGCTGGGCTCTTCAGGTGTAAGGTATTACAGACTAGCCCACCTACATGGAGAGCAAATGGCAGAGCAGAAGAGAGACAGCACCCAGCCAGCTGTGCTGAAGCCTCTGTCCATGGCTGCTCCGTCTGGTGGGGGATCTGCTCTGTGCATGTTTGGAGTCCATACTCACCTAAACCTTTCTGCCCAGGGTTCTTAGCAAAGGTAAAGGTAAACTGATAAAAGTCTTTAAACTTCGCTGTGTCCTTAAGCTCTTGTTCCAGTCTTGGCAGAAGAGCCTTTAGCTTCTCTGCACTGTCGCACCTGTGATAACAGAGACAGTGGCCTGTTACCTGCGGCAGACATGCTTCCTGGTTGATCTTCCCTCTTCCCTCACAGGAACAGTGACCTGCACATGGCTCCAGTTGGAGACCATGTTTCCCACCTTCCCTGGCAGTGCGGAGCAGCCCAAGCCCAGTTCTAAGTGATGGACTGTGAGTGAGTTACAGTGGGCAGCCTCCATCCGCTCTGAGACGGACCGTGAGTGAGTTACAGTGGGCAGCCTCCATC